CGTCGAGCAACTGTCATTTTTAGAAACGCACACGGAGGACGTTTTCGTCGCGATACAAGTAACAGGAGATACTGGTCAGAAGTGGAAAAGGCTTTCGCTCAAATTAGATCCGTCGACGTGGCGCGGCCCGCCCGATTCTCCCCCCACCGCAATTTATACGCGGTAGTATTTTTGCGCAATTTGTGCCGGTTATGAGGACGTGCAAGCGCGCGATGGTTCCACCGTGAAAAATATAGCTCGAATTTATCGCGGAGACCGAGCCCACCCTTCCTTTACTCTCTCCATCACCGACTGAATATCCATTATCCGTCACTGTCCGTGGGTCTCGAGAGTGACTGACCCGAGGTGAAATTATACGATTCGCGCCGAGAATCATCCTCAAAACCCTGTCACGCGTCAATTTGTTTTACCAATGATTCTTCCGTTCTCGCTCATAAATATTGAGTCGCGTCTACATTCGCGGAATTGAAATAGAACTCTATGAATGAAATAGAACTCGAGTTTAATGATTAAACGTATCAATGAATGGAATCTCAACTACTGAATAATTATTGTGTACTCGCGATACGATCTTCTAGAATAAAAAATAGGAAAATTCTGTACACAAACGAACCGATCTCGTATATGTTTATTTTTATATACTATAATTATATAAGTTCAATGAACCGACGTATAAGATAAGATTATCGTCGCTGCGTTTATGAAAAATTTTAGATATTCTCCTTAGAAGATGCCTCCGTCCTCGCAAGCCCTTGGGTCAGGTTGGTAATTCACGAGAGGCAGCGTATGATGAATGCCCTCGACGCCCACGCGGCGTCGCGACGCCCGGTGCCCTCGGGGCGGCGCGGCGAAACTAAATTTCAGATGATCGGCGTCGTCGTCGTCGTCGTGAAACACCGCGATATGGTTAATTGCCCGTGGAGGAAGAATCGCCGCGTTCCAGTTTTGTGCGCGTACGCCCGCGACCTGATAAATTAAGGCATTTGGAACGGGATCCTCCCTACCCTGACCCCGCGGGTTACGTATTACAGCGAACACGCGAACGCCGCGTTAAATCGTCGATATCTCGGGATCGCCGAAATTCCTTGCAGTAAAAATCGACGTCGACGATGAATAAACTGTCAGAATAATTCTAAATTCGATCGTATTCAAACAATCTCCGCATCAGCAATGTTAAAAATATGACGTCAATAATTGTAAGACTGACATTTTTGGTAATTTCATAGATACATCGGCCAAAGGTAATGGAAGAACGATCGAGAAATTGTGTACGTGAAAATTTGTAATCTCGCGGAACAAAGGGCTTATCAGGCTCGCCCCCGATCGGATTCTTTTTCTGTTGGTGATAACAATTAAACCGGCAGCGAAACGACGGATTACGAGGCCAGAGCAACTGTACAGTAACCTCAAGTAGCGCGATTACTGCTCGTAAGCGCGATCAAGTAGCTCGATCTTCGGCTTGGATAACTCAGCGGTAAAACGAGCCAAGGACCCTGACACCATTGATAACGATTCTTCTCATCGCCGTCTTTCCACTGTCCCTCCCTTACACCGTTTGTCATGAGAACAAGACTTTTTTAATGTATCTGCTTTTTCTATGAGTGATCGTCCATCGCTTCTCTCTCGTACAATAACTTCGTGAATTTTATTTGATAATTTCATTCGATTTCATCTACTCCAAATCTCAATTGATAAAAAAAAAGTCTGTGAAGGCAAGGAGAAAATGATATCTCGATACGGATGCTGTATTTTTTCGATTAAACCGACACCCCTTCTCTGTTCGTTTTAGGGTCGTCCTATCTTCGCTCGCTACGAACGACTCTCTCTCGCCCTCGAATCTGGCACAGATACGGATATCCGAAAACTAATAAGGACAAGATGCTGGGTGAGGGGAAAAAATTGGGACAGGAAGTCCGATGAGACCGAGGAACGTGAAATAAAAAAAAGAAAAAAAAAAGACATTTCTCCGATCGATAAAGCATTTGTCACTTTTGGCAATATTTCATTTCCTCGACACTGTACGACCTCTCGACAGGAAATGTCATAAAGTCTCAGGATGTTAAGTAATAAGAGCATGTAGGTCGAACGACGATGCGAAGGACTAATACGTGAGAGCAGAACTGGGAAAAGTCGAGCGAATCATTAAACAAGAGCACGGGAAAACACGAGAGAGAATCCATAAAATTGTCACCACGACGAGAAGCAGCAGCATCTATTTCCCGACCGGAAAATCCTCAAGCGTCCAAAGAAACCGAACCCTGTTTATGATATCCGGGGATAATTAATAACCGCGAACTCTCGCGCGCTAAAAACTGACGTGGAGCTTAAGACGATCCCGGCATAAAGAATGTTTTTCCTTTCCGACCGGAGACCGAGAAATAAGTATTTCTATTGACGAATTCAATTCGATGTAAAATCTTTGTAGAAATTAACGAGCTACACTCTAGTCGCAAATAAACGCGGAGAAAATTGAACAATCTTTTTTAAGACCTCGGACACGATCGTTTAAGATCAAATTAGAATCCCCTGTACTTTCCGGCGTCTAATCTCGCGGGAAAAATTACACGAGTCATGTAGCGAGGGGCTGACGCGAGTCATTAATTGTCCCGGCCTAACCCCCAAAGGAAAAAACACGGAGGAGCGCTAATTGATCGTTGAAACTGTGCTCGTCGGGGAAGCGAACGAGATAGAAAAAAAAAAAGAAAGGAAGACGCTTATGTCGGCGAACGGCCGATTTAGTGTTTCCGCGATAAGCGCGCGCGCTGCTGGATCGGATGCGTAAAAGTGGATCGTCTATTACACAAAAGGGGAGACGGAGAGCTTTATCGCGACTGCGAGATAGGGCGAGTTTACGGACTGGTTGTGTGCAATAAAGGAACCGCGTTAAGTTTTACGTGGAACCCAGAGACGCCGGCGTCCGTCGGATGATTCTCGCGATGACCAACCCTCCCCGAACCCGTTCCAGACGAGGAAAATGAAAAATCGTACGACGGGCGAACCGATCTCTGCAATACTGTTCCTTCAAATTGGATTTTTATATCAAACCAGTCAACGAGAACAATTCCAAATGTCACCTACGTACGTCTTAACTTAGTGTTATATAGACTGATACGATAAATTGGAAAAATATTGCATACTCCTTAGAAAAGATATATTTCTATGAAGTATTGAAAATCTTGGAAATCGTACAGTGAATAATGTATTAAACAAACTTAGTGCGGTAGTAAACATGAGAGATTAAGTGATTACGGGAAAACGCGGAGCGAACGAGTTATGATCGCGTGTAAAAAAGCCGGCAATTAAAGAGTTCAACATACCGATAACGTTGTACGCAGACGGAATGTCAATTAAACTCGTCTCGATTCCTCGAGATTCTTTTTACCGGGGAACCCTGAGTAAACGAACGTGAAAAGGAAATATGACAAATATTTTATATCGACTCAGCCGAAGAAGCTTTATCGTCGAGATAAAAGGTGATTACGTGCGGGAGATATAATCGCCACAGATTTTCCATCACTTTCCTACGGAATTTTTCTGCTGCTCTCTCTGACATTGGTAAAATGCTCGACGAAACTGGAAATACAGTCAAGGTTTTTACGGCGACGAAGGAAGTCACGCACCTCTGAGCGTCGACGAGTGAACTTACTCGGGAGAGAAAAATTATAAAGGCAAGTTCGGGGATCAACGTTAGATCGTATCCCAGTCGGAGCCTCGTCCACCCGCGTTCCCGAGCGGCAACCCCGTCGATTCAATCGAATAAGTATCGATCCGACGCCGACTACCAGCCTTGAGATTCCATTTAATAATAATAACGGGACCTGCTCGTATGAAACCCGTGACCGTTCGAACGAGAAAGAGTGCCTCGGTCGGACAGAGACCGAGAGAGAGAGAGAGAGAGAGACGGTGCAGAGAGGACTCGGAGAGAAATAGGACATCGTACAGAAAAAGAGAAAGGGACGGGGAGCTTCCAAGTTTTATTTCCGCGTATTAGCATAATAATTGCGCGCCGCGGCGAGGGTGGCCTCAAAGAGGGAATGTGCGGCGGTGGCAAAGCCGACGGGCACGGATACCGATCCCCACGTACGTGTCTACACACGCGCAAACACATTAATCAAACAGAGAAAGAGAATGATCGGTGTGTCCCGGAGACGGATACGTCGAACTTTTCGGACGTTTCTGGCAGGGTATCGAGGCCGGCTCTTTTTCGGGACGAAGCGAGGGAAAGAGAAGCAGAAAGAAGGTTACGGAGTTTCGCCGGCTGACCCACTTGCGGGCCCGTTGGAGACCTGGCGAACCTGGTCCCCGGAAAGCCGGAGCTGCATTTTATCGCGTTCGATTCACCGGCTGATGGAACGCGTTCCGCTTACCCGAACACGTTCCAGCATTGTGTAATTAGTGATAATGCTATCGAATCGTTCTTCCCTGCCCCTACCTACCGACCGACCGACCGACGGCGACCAACGTTTGATAACGTTGCAATGTTTATCGCCGGATTAATGGAATATTACCGTTGAAGGAGGATTAATCGGGGCTTAAGGCTTCCCCGGCTCCCGTGCGACTCTCTTCCCGGCCTCACCATTTCCATACCGATATAGATTACGATCGTGTGCGTGTACTCATTTTTTTTTTTTTTTTCATTGAAATTTTACACCGTCATCGAGCATCACCGTTCGTTGGAACGGTGACGTAACTCGATCATCAGGAGTACCCGAAAAACGGGTTTCGATGCCTCGAATCGTTTCGCCTGCGATTCGAGTGACACGATATTACGAATACAATGCGAAACGATAACGATCGTCTGACTCGAATCGTCGAATACGATGATTCCTACGTTGATCCGTAAATGATCCGTCATCAGCGATTCGCGACGCGACATTTTCAAGGCGACTTGGAATTAACGTCGTAAAAGACAGAGAGAAACGTTTCGGTTGCAGTCGTGAAACGATCGTAACAGCCGCGGGAGGGACTCGCGGGTCACCTCGCCTCCGGACCGGTATTAAAATCGTACGAAAAATTTCTTCCCGTATAACATTCGAGCTCGTAAAACGCGCGGAGACGAACGATCGGGCGAGCGAGTTCATCGAGGCGTCGTAACGAGCGTGCGAGAAAGAATCGAGGGAACTTTCGAAACTCGTTTCGCGAATCGCACGCGTGTGTATCGGAATTGGTTACTCGCGCGAGGAATACGAGCGCGCGCGGAAAACCGTGTCGTAGAACGGAAATTCACGATTTGTAAGCCACTTGGACTTTCGAGCACCCGGCGAGCGATGCTTCATCCTTCTCCGCCGCTTACGTACGGCGACGCACCCGCCTCGGTTCTTACGAGCCGGCCAAGTGACTCTGCCACGGATTTACTAGGGAAATTCTACCCCGGCAACGAGATGTGTGGTAATGCTTGCAAAATAGGAGCCACTTCAGCCAGCCCGCTGCCCCCGCACTAACACGAATTAACCGTCTTCCGAGACGCTCGATCGAACCCAATTTCGCCTATGCGTTTCCTCCGAAATATCCTTCGTTCTCGTAATCTCAATACATCTCTTAAAAACGTCTGTACATTCGTACAATGCATAATTAAATGCAACGATGCATGATCTCGTTATTAAATTTACAAAATACTCACGCCTAACCACGAGAACAGACCTGAGGTTTCAACATTCGAATCATCGCTTGAAAACAATCATCTAATCACGTGAGAGTATTGACTGGGATGATGTATCAACTCTCACCGTTCTTAAAGATTTCGGCGGAGCATTCTCTGACGGGTCATCGCGCGAAGGCTCGCATATACCGACGCAATGGTGCATTTCGGGGGAAACGGGTACGGATGGGGGAGGGAGGGGGAGAGAGAGGTTCTGGAAGAGAAATAGAAAGAGCGAGACGGGGGTGGAGGATGACGCGAGCGGAAGATGGAAGTTTCGAAGGTGCAGGAAGGTGGTCGTAGGGGTGAGCTTCGCAGACTGGGTAGGTGAGCGTCGGAGTCGAGTCGAGTCGAGGGAAGAAAAATGATCCATTAATCTGAAACCCAAAGTCTGGCGGCGCCGGGCGTCGCGGCGGCGTCGGCAGCGGCGTCGACACGACCGGCATGTGCATGGTGGTGGTTTCGACGCTCGCGCGCAAGACCAAACTATATACACTCGTTCGTACCCACCTTCCCCACACCCCCTTTCCTTCCTTCCACGTTATCCACCCCTAGCAGCTACCCCTTGTCCCCCGTGTGCCCGTCCTACGCTTTCTTTTCGACCCCTTCGACCAGTGATCGTCAACCTCGTCCTCAAACGCTTCCAACACGTGCCACTTACTTCGAACGTTCCACGATTACAAATTGCAGTACATTTCGTCTGTTTATCATTTACAGGAGCTCTTCACTTCTCGATTGTAATAATACTTCTTTAGACGAGAATAAGTATTGATTTAATTCAATGACAATTCGAGTCGCATGTGGAACTGTTCTCAGGAGACGCAGTTGAAGAACACTGGCCTCGTCAAGTCGTCGTGTGCGTCGCACACGAATGAAGGCAAGGGAGAAGAGGATCTTAACTGGAACGTATGGAGGAATAAGAGACGATCCGAACGTCTCCGTGGAGCCGCGGAGATACATACATACGTGAATCGAGTCTTGAGAAATGAGAAGCACGGCGCGGAGGACGAGGGGGGAACGTACGAACGAACGGACGGACGAACGAACGGATAAGAGATCGAAATCCGGTCGCGATGAGGTGTTGGAACGAGAGGAGAAGAGAACGAGGAGGACGCGCCGGCCACATTTGAATCCCAAATTCGACGAGACCACGGTGAACGTGATTAAAGAGTTCGCAGTCGTTGTCGATTGGCAACCGAATACCCAAAATCTTCTTATACGATACTGTTAGATTTCCATTTTTTCAAACATCTTTATTACGTTTTAAAACGCTATTGTAATTCTTTTGAATCTATTTCAATAAATTCTTAGAATTCAATGAATGAGTCACGTCCTTACGTTGCAACAACACGCGCAACAGTACAAGATTTATCATCGAAACGATGGATCGATCGAAATCTAAAGAAATTAGAAAGTAACTGTACAAGTAATAATTATTATCGTGCACTCACATCGTACGAGAATCGCAGAAAGCCCTGGTTTCTTTATCAAAAATTTTAGCGAGATAACGCGGAATCGAATATACGATATCGAAGCCACGAACGCGCGAGCCGACACGTTCATGAACGGAATTACCTTTTTCGCCTCGGTTAATTGACCCAATCGTCTCGCGTCGAGACAAAGAAAATTCGTGTCGTTCACCTCAAACGTCCTACAGCCACGTAAGCGATTAACGGACGAGAACCTGACAAATAGTACGTAGGTCTGCGCCTTGATTCGGTCGTATTTTTCAGTCGCCGACTCAATCATTCTGAATTACATATCGTTAGGCCCGACGCGGTCGAAATAGTCGCCGATGATAATAAAACGATCGCCATGAGAAACATCGTCGGTCAACACGTAATACACGAGTACAAACCGTCTCTTAAACCGTCTAACAAAATTATGCACCCGGAAAACTTATGATCTCTTATAAAAAATTTAACCGAGTCGCGATAAGACCGTCTCATGCTGCGAATGAAGCATCGCTCTATATAAACAATTGTACTTGAAACGGAGAATAATAGCCGTGAGGAGAAAATTCCTTCCGGGTTGATCTCTAAGCGACGACGTCAGGTGCGACCGGGATCGGTCTTTAATTCCGTCCGCTTGGTATGCGGCCCACGCGCGTTTCGTCCACGCGATGCGATGCCACGGACGAGGACAAACACGCGCGCATCCTCGTGTACACCGTAATATAGTAGCAAGATCCAGATCGGCCGGAATGAGTTGACCCTGGCTAAGTCGCAATTGATCTCAATTAGAGTCTCCCTCTGCCCCTTCGTTTCGCCCTATGTATCCGTACTCTCTTCCCCGCCGGTCCTCGCGTCCCCCTTTCCTACCCGACCGTGGCAATTTCTTTTCTTCTCTTGCATCCTTCCATCCTCTTCGCGCGTCCACTTCGTGCATCGTTATGCAATTGAACGAACACCGGCTGCGAAAGGGAGAGCCGAGTTCCTCGACTCGCGTCCTGCTCTCTCTTCGATTTTGTTCCACCGACCCGATTACATTCGCGCAATTTTCACGATCACAATATATATTTAGGATTATAACTTAAGCAGTTGTAACCTCTTTCAACCGGTGAGACACTTTTCATCGAGACGACTGATCCAACGAAACGAGGGGAATCGATATATTCCGAGATAACGTTCTCGGAACGACCGTCAACCGAGCGAAACCGTATAACGGATATTTCGACGACTATAAAAATTAGACCGGCGAACTTTCAACCCTACAGTGTCGGTCATTCAGTAGCGGAAGGATAGGCAAACGATAAAGTCTTTATTACTCGAACCCGATCAAGTGCCACCCGAGCAGTTTCATGCGACTGCCAGAATCGCGTTTTATATCGTCGGATTATCCTCCGATCGATTGATGAATAGACTAGGTTTCGCGCATTTACAATGAAATTTCATGCGCACGTCGCAACGACGAATAAACCGTTTTTAAAAACAGAACAGACGTGTATATATATATATATATTAAAGTTGATTGCTTTTTTTGCGATACTTGGTATGTAAAGTACTCGTTACAATTGATATACCGCCACGAGGGATACGTACCAAAGACGTGAGATCAGCCGATCTACAGTTACCTTGCGCAGCATGCAATTATAATGAGATTAAGCGCGTGTCAATCAACTCGCTACGTTTCAAAGCGACGACGTGACGATTTGAGTAACGTTCGTTCAGATCCTTCGTAATAGACACTTTGATAATTTCGTTGAACGCTCGAAAGAAATGAGCTCCGTCCCCGCGAGACTCCGTTGATTGCGACAGAAAAAAGGGTGGGCACTCGAGAGGGCGTAAACGAGAGTATAGGTGAGAGCGAAAGAGAGAAGGAGTAAACGAGCAGAATTCAATGAGGTCGAGGAAAACCGAGGTGGTAAATGCTAGTCCTAACCCTACCTTATACTACCCACCTGTTGAATTGCCCAGCAGACCCACCGCCGCCCGAGCCCCCTCGGTGGGCTTGACCATCGTGGTTTACCTGCGTGCGACCCGATCCTAAATCATCCTCCCTCGCACCGCCGCAAATCGCGTCGGAATAATTTAATCTGGAGAACTTCTGCGCCCGCTAACGACGCTCCATTAAAATGTTCTGTCGTTAAACACCGAATTAACTGCGCGCGACTAATTAAACGGATCGATCCAACGGTTCCGCGTTTCCTGAATTTAGATCTCACTAAATTTCAACGTACCGATTCGACTTGGATATTTTCGATTCAATGAATGTTTCTTTAGAACTTTGTGAAATTGAAACAGCCTTAAACCGGGTAATTGCTTAATAATTAGCAGGCGGCTCGTCACTGACGGCGTCGAGGAGCCGAGTGCCTCCGGTAACGGTTCGAGCGAAAGATTTCGTGATTACGGTAAAAATGAAATTCTTGAAAAATTATCCCCCCGGGGGAAGTCGAACGAGACAGCGCGAAACAATTCGATGAAGCGAACCCTGATTAATTGGTTCCCGACTCGGCCGAGAAATTAACGTGCACGGCTAACGGGCTTCTTCTTCTTGCGGTCATTACCTCCGCAACAGGGATTTTTAAGGGGATAATACGCCGGAAGGTGAAGGGTAAAACGAGGAGGCGGAGGCGCCGGCGAAGTGTGTTCATAACAAGATCATTATTCAAACTTTTACGGCTGGTTTGAGGGGGCGAAAATTCGAACAGAAGGTATAATGTGCTGCGACTCTGATTTATGTTAATTCCCACGATCCGTACGCGTTCATTTATTCTCCAATGAATTTCTCATTGTAACGAGTAATACTTTCTGTTTACGATAAAAATCTATCTGTAATTTTTTTTTCATAAAAACAGCGCGTATCGTCGGAAAAAGAAGCAGGGGAATTTATCGAGTCGCAAGAATATTATCAGCCAGGAACAACAGAGAAATAAGACGCTCTTAACCTATTTAACGACGTTCATCAACCGGGGGCATTTACAAAGCTAATAATAAATGTTCCAGCGTAACTGAGAGCCGTGCAACGAGCAACTTCCTACAAGATTTGAACATGTACCTGTCCTCGTTAAAACTTTCTACTCCAACGAAATTGATCGAAATAAATATGGACTTTAGATCTCGTTCAACGTACGTTCTGTACTTTCCCTGATTCATTTATGAGCCCCTATGCGTTACGTAAAAATGTCAAAGTCCGTTTGATTCATTATTCGATCGGTGCCAAGTAGAAAATCGAGACTTCATGTTTTTCACCGTCTATCGTCTAACGTTCAATCGTCAGCTGCCGTTATCCGATGGATTCCCGGAAAGCAGCTGCACGAGATTTTCGCGCAGCTCAAATTCAGCTTACAATTAATCGAATGTGCACGGATTAACGGAAGAACACGGTCGACGGAGGAAACGCACTGAGCTCCGCGTCGTCGGTTTGACCGAATCGACGCGTTTCAGTCGATTATCGACGCCGCTCCGGAAGAGCTCCGCAGTAATTAAGCCCGATTAAATTTCCTACGCGCCTTGTGTCCGTAGTAATTGCGACCCATTCTGCATTCGCAACGAACCAAATGAAATTCATTACGATACCCCATTCACCGTCGTTTCTCCCTCTCTGTATAATACGCTACTGGAAAAACATTCGAGCACCATATAAAGTAACAATAAAATTCTATGCTGCAATATTTAATACACTGGTTTCGATGATCGTTTCTGCTCGTTGTAACGAAAGATAATAGTCATAAAAACTTAATAATGTTTCATCGAACAGAACGCGTTTCGGCATCTGATCGGAAAATGACTCGAGCAATTTGAAGAGAAGAGCTGGTCCGGCACAAGAAGAAAAGAGCCCGTCGCATTGTGACTCGCGTCACAAAAGCGTTTCGTCTCGAATAGGAGGGAAATTACTTAGCAGAGGAATTCCGAGGTTTCAATTCCCTGAAACTGTGCCCACAGCTTACCGGTCGTGTCACAATGGACGACGAAACTTACTTCCTTCCTTCCTTCCTTCCTTCCTTCCTTCCTTCCTTCCTTCCTTCCTTCCTTCCTCCGTTTCTCTCACGGCAGGGTTTAAAGGTTTAATTCGCCGTGAAACAAGAAAAAACGAATGTCTCGAAAATCCTTTGATTCCCAGATGAATAGGACCGTGCAAACGTTTCGAGTGTCGAGGAAGTACAGCCAAAATTTTCTACGATTCTCACTTCTTTTCTAATTGAACAATGAACTCTGACGACAAAGTTTTCTCTCTTCTTTTGTTTCATAAAAGTTTGTCTCTCATAACGAAAGGGGTTATAATTGCTTCGAGAATTATTTCGAGAATTTGAAATCCGTTGTAAAACGGAAGATTTCGGGCGAACGGATTCGTTGAGAACCGGAGACACTCCACTCATCGGTATTCCGGCCACGCGAAAGTATAATAAACGTGGAGTATTCGTGAACGCACGCGCTTCCGCGGAAACAAAACAATACCGAATGTACATACGAACAGCGAGAGAGAGAGAGAGAGAGAGAATGCGTCGGTGGAATTCAGGAAGCAGCAACAAGTGTGACATCCCTTACCATCGCTACCTTTCCCACCTAGCCACCCTTCTGTCCCAAGGGGGCGAGCGAACAGCCTCTTTCGTGTCGCTGCGAGTGGAAGACAAATAACGGTGGTGTGTACTCGTCTAACCGGGTTACAAACGTCTCAATGAACCCTCTTTCACCTTCAGGTTTAATCTCCACGTTCTTTGATAAAAAAAAAATAAACGACGCGATTTCACTCGTTTTATTAAATACGAATCGAT